GTGAGATAAAAATCAGACTTATTTTTTCAAATCAAGGTAAAAATCATAGAATTCTGGAGGTTTATATTTTTGGTTTTAGAAGCCGTTTTTATGATGTGATGTAGTTATGGTTTGGATTGGTTATGTCCAGGTTTTAGAGTCCTGGTTTGGTCCTGGTTTGGTCCTGGTTTCGGTCCTGGTTGAGTCCTGGTTCAGTCCTGGTTGAGTCCTGGTTCAGTCCTGGTTCAGTTCTTTATAAAACATTAGTATTCCTTCAGAGACCCTGGGCCGTTTGTGTTGATGAAGCTCTTTGCCTTTAATAATCTCATATTATTATCAGCTGGTCTGCAGAGGTCAGTCGTTAACTGTTACCTAGCAACCGTAATGTAAACAAGAAAATTACACAATAGTTCGGATGAGACTCGTACAAATAAATCTGCACAGCTTTATTTATCAAAACGAAGCTTTAAAATGTCTTTGTGCATGAATTGTCTCTGTCTTTTGGATGAAGTTTTAGGCAGAGAGATTCTGCTTTACAACTCAGACATATTTCCTGTATTTTTTGTATTTTTTTGTTTTCTACTTTTCAAAAACTGCCGCTAAACTGATGCAAAATTATAATAAATATCGACCACAGGGACAATCCACCAAACCGAGAAATAAAATTAGAAACAAAACACGACCTGTCAAACGCACTTTAAGTTTGGGACAAAAAAATGTATGTTCCCACAGCTCTATGTTCCCTCAGCTCTATGTTTCCTCAGCTCTATGTTCCCTCAGCTCTATGTTCCCTCAGTTCTATGTTCCCACAGTCTTATGTTCCCACAGCTCTATGTTCCCACATCTCTATGTTCACTTAACTCTATGTTCTCTCAGCTCTATGTTCCCTCAGCCCTAAATTTCTTCAGCTCTATGTTCCCACAGCCTTTTGTTCCCACAGCTCTATGTTCCCACAGCCTTATGTTCCCACAGCTCTATGTTCCCACAGCTCTATGTTCTCACAGCTCTATGTTCCTTCATCTCTATGTTCTCACAGCTCTATGTTCCCTCAACTCTATCTTCTCACAGCTCTATGTTCTCTCAGCTCTATGTTCCCTCAACTCTATGTTCCTTCAGCTCTATGTTCCCTCAGCTCTATGTTCCCTCAGCTCTATGTTCCCACAGCTCTATGTTCCCTCAGCTCTATGTTCCCTAATCTCTATGTTCCCACAGCTCTATGTTCCTCAACTCTGTGTTCCCACAGCTCTATGTTCCTACAGCTCTATGTTCCCTCATCTCTATGTTCCTTCAACTCTATGTTCCCTCAGCTCTGTGTTCTCCAGCTCTATGTTCCTTCAGCTCTATGTTCCCTTCATCTCTATGTTCCGACATCTATATTCCCGCAACTAAGTTCTCTTAGCTCTATATTCCCTCATATCTAAGTTTTCTTTCTTTTTTTTTTTTTTCAAAATTAGTCTCTATGTTCCCACATTTCCTTTATCATCATTTTGCATCAGATTTTATCCAATTTCTCCCAATTTTTTTTGTCAATTACACCCGATCTGTTCTCCAGCAGCAGTTGAAAACGACTCTGAATCAATTTAAATCCGGAATAAAAATAAAAATGACTTGACTTAGAGTTTAATTTTGAGATAAGAAAATAAGAAAATAAAAATAAAAATCTTAGAAATGTGGGACCATGGGGCTGTGGGAACATAGCCCAGTGTTTTTTAGTGTCAGGTTTGTGGGTTTGAGTCGTGTCCAAAACTATTACTGTTGTTGTTGTTGTGTCCATGAGCAGGACACTTGAAACACACTGTCCAGTTACCGGTTTCGTCACGCTGCAGGGAGGGCATCTGGCATAAACACCAGAACATTTTAACTCCTTCTCGAGTTGTACACGGAGGAGCCGGAGGAGCCAGAGCCAGAGCCAGAGCGCCGGCGATGCTCTGCGGTGACGTCAGGCCGGGGGTGTTCTACATGTATGTGTGCGCTGGAATGTTTATCAGTTACCGCGGAGACACGAAGCACACATTACCAAACGCTGTCAGAAAGTTTTAAGATTGTTTGGAAGAAAACCAGGACTAAATCAGGACTAATCCAGGACTGAACCAAGACTAAACCCAGACTAAACCAGAACTAAACCAGGACTAATTCAGGACTAAACGCAGGACTAAACCAAGACTAAACCAGGACTAAACCAGGACTAAACCAGGACTAAACCAGGACTAAACCAGGACTAAACCAGGACTAAACCAAGACTAAACCCAGGACTAAACCAGGACTAAACCAGGACTAATCCAGGACTAAATCAGGACTAAAAGCGGGACTAAACCAGGACTAAACCAGGTCTAAACCAGGACTAAGCCAAGACTACACCAGGACTAAACCAGGACTAAACCAGGACAAAAAACAGGACTAAACCAGGACTAAACCAGGACTGAACCAGGACTAAGCAAGGACTAAACCAGGACTAAAAGAGGGGACTAAAACCAAGACTAAACCAGGACTGAACCAGGGCTAAGCAAGGACTAAACCAGATACAAACCAGGACTAATCCAGGTCTAAACCAGGACTAAACTAGAACTAAACCAGGATAAACCAAGACTAAACCAGGTCTAAACCAGTTCTAAACCAGTTCTAAACCAGGACTAAACCAGGTCTAAACAATCTGACATTAACATTAGTGTGGACATAATTTAAAGCAGCAGTGTCTCATATAAAAATCATTTCTCTGTCAATAATATTTTTAATCTGGTTAAGTAAAGTTTGGACTTTTTATTTTCTTTTATCAGACAAAACAAAACTTCTCATGTTCAGATCCTCGTCTTTGTTTCTCTGCAGTAAAACAAAAGTCTGTTCATGGAGACTTGGGCTCAACAGACAATTTGAAGAAAACAAACAAGAATTTTCAGGATGTGGTTGGTTCATTCATGTCGTTTTCAAAAAGCACGACAATATCAAGTAATCCAAAGTAATCAGATTACATTACTCAATTTAAGTAATTTAATGGATTACGTTACAAACTACATTTTGGTGTATGTAATCTGTAATCTGTAGGGGATTACATTTTAAAAGTAACCCTCCCAACACTGCATTTATTTCAGCAAAATACAGGAAAGATAAAAAAAATTAAAATTAAAAAAATTAAAAAGATAAAATAAAATAAAAAATATAAAATAAAATAATAAATAAATAAATAAATAAATAAATAAATATAAATAAATAAAAAAATAAATAAAAATAAAAATAAAACGATAAAAATGACTAAAACACAAAGAAAACGTGACTATACTGACTCACATTAGAGCCGAGTGCAGAACAATTTTCTTTAATCACCGTACGCACTCTTTTCACATTTTTATTATCTCCAAAAAATGTCATCGCGTTCGTTCGTCTTTTCACTCGACGCCTTGTTCTTCTGAAATAACCGTCTCCTGCTCCCACAGTCCACGTCTGGATCAGAGACGCTCTATATTTTGTAAACACGGAAAAAGTCAAATGTCCTCGTGGGGATTTAAAACTTTCAAGAAAACACGAGATCCATTTTTTTCAGTTTGTTGAGTCTGTTCATTTTCCATCTGTTCTAGAATTATGAATTATGTTTTGTTTTTTTACTCTTATCATTGATCGATCTTTACCTCAGTCTCTCTGTTCAGTCTGGTTTGTGTTTACTGTGACTCGGTGACCTGGTTTGTGTTGATTTTTTGCTTTGCTCTTTGTTCTTATTTAAGTATTTCATCCTGACAGTGCTGAGATTTAGAAACTGTTATTAGATAAAATTCTGAAAAAAATAAAAAATGTATTACTACCAACCACCAAAGAACGAGGATGTCCCAGTGTTTTATTTTGAAAATCTGTTCACCCTGCTTAATTAGAAACACAAAAGTGATTTAAAGAGCACATTTTCATTTTCCTGTGATCAGTCTAACCGTTTATGGTCCTGTTTAAGAGTTTAATTTCCTTTTTTTAAACAATGTATTTATTGAGATTTTCATATTAAAATATTAACAAAACATATAGAAACAAAAAACAAAACAAAAACAAGACAATTGTCACTGATAATAACAAGGTGAAAACTTAAACATAAATATTCATATCACATTCAGTATTGAACATGTCTCCAAACGTCCTCGAAGTCCTCAGCTTTTCCTCTCAAAATAAATGTAAGTCTTTCCAGTGCAATACAAGATGCCATTTCCAGAGTCCAAACATATACAGGAGGCGCATCCACATTTTTCCAAAATAAAACGATAGTCGTCCAGACCTGCAGGACCAGACTCCACCAGTGTGAACAAAATCACTGGGATATCACCACAATATACAGAGCCTTGCCCGATGAGGAACTTATACACCAACTACACTGGATATGGTATGAATCACAGATTTCCAGTAGTTCTGAACAAAGAACCTTTATCATTTGCACATTTGTTCCAAATATCTGGATGCAGGATCCACTCATGTCATTTGACAGGAGTGAAGAAGTTCTCATTAACCATTTATATTGTAACAACTGCACTTCTAGTGTTGATGGTTTGCTTTCTAGGCTTTTTCCCACTCAGCAACTTCAATATTCTCTTGAGTGAAGAGTTTAATTTGCAATAAAAACTGTGACAGCGACAAACTGAAAAAGTGTTGGCTAACGCTAACGCTAGCGTGTGGACTGTAATGTTATTTAGTGGGATTTGTTTAACAGTAGGTGACCAAACCACCGTTTTTCATGTCCATTTTTTGTGTCTTGTCCTGGGCGTCCTGGGTTTTTATTTATTTTTTACATGATGGAAATGTCCAGGTTTTCATTTCCGTTCATTGGGACATTAAACTGAGCGTCTCTCGTAGCGTCTGTGACTCAGAAGCAGCGAGACACAAACAGTCGGTCAGTATGAAACATGCTGAAGCACAAATGCACATTTAACAACGACTTGTACAAGAAATTCTCCATTTTCTGTCCTGGTCGAGACAAGTGAGAGGCATTTCTTTTATAAAACTGGGACAAATCAGTGGTTGTGGAAAGCACCACACCCCCGGAGAAGATTGACTTT